TATTACTGCCTCAGCATTTGCCTAAGTGATCCAAGGAAACCACAGAAAAACTTGGACCAAGGCAGACGGACCCGGAATCGAACCGGCGTCCTCCCGAATGCTAAGCAATGGTCTAGACCTCTAGACCATGCCGCTCGGTAGATGCAGCATTATGAGTGTGTTGTTTTTGGTCAAAAATTCGCTCATAAGCAACGATGTGTGAGCAGGGGCGTTATCATGGCGCAAAAACCAATTGTTTCGGTGAAATTACGCGTAACTTGCAGGTAATATTCCTTATTGACCGTTCTACCCTGTGGCAGGAACTCATGATGCACCACGCCCCTGCAATCCAAGAAAACTATAGGCAAAATCTTCACATTCGACCTAACAGAGCCCAACAGCTCCTTAAAAATGTCAATACAATGTTGCTTTTGGTCGAAGTTGAGCAATCTTGGTACGAATTTCGCGGCGACCAGTCCCATGCCCAAATCATTGGTAAAAATCGAATGGCACAAGCCAATCGATATGTTTAGGTCCTCAGCAACTTCTCTAACGGTAATTCGACGATTGGCCAAGAAAACTACTCAAAACCTTCACATTCGACCTAACTTGCGGCAGCTTCCATTGGGATGATTGAGCTCTGGTTTCCAGGACATAACCATAAACCATTCGTCACCGTGACCCTCTGGAGTAAATTTGGGTCGTCGCGGAGTAGTGTAACAACTCCTCAGCAATGTTGATGCGTTTGAGCAATTTTGGTATGAATTCCGCGGCGACCCGTCTCATGCCCAAATCATTGGTAAAAATCAAATGGCAGAAGCCAATCGATATGTTTAGGTCCTTTAACGGTGATTCGACAATTACCTATTTTCTTCACTTCGTCAACGTTTTTGTCTGTTATTGACGTGCTCGGACGTCCGGCACGTTCTTCGTCGTTCACATCTTCTCGGCCCTCTGAGAACATTTTATACCACCGGTAAACGTTGCTTCGGTCCAAGGTAGCTTCACCATATGCCACAGCCAACATTCGGAATGCGAATCAAGTCAGCATCAGTTAATTTACTTTGCAACTAATTTTTTTACAGCGTATTTAGAAAAGTTTCATGCTATTGCGATGTGCTATTTAAGGTTAGGAGTCAGCAAAACGAACGGTTGATAGTTGTGTCTTCTTTCTCTTTTTCTCTTTTCGTCTTTCTAAAAACACCAGTTGTCGGTAGCATCGATTAAATAAAAGAGCGTGCTTGTTCCCTTTCCCTTTATTTCCTGTTACACGTTTCCGTCGTATAAGATGTTACACATAAAAAGAGTCTATTTAGTAACAGGAAAAATAAAAATGTAGCAGCAAAAACTGTAACAGCTTCCTTTTCGTTATTATATATTTATTTCCTAAGGTGCTTCTGGAGTATTTACGTCCTCTGTCAGAGTCTTGACAAGATTCCTCGTGTCAGAGATAAGGGGTAGCACAATATACTTTTTCACCGTTTCCGTTTCTGCGGTAGCCACCTGTTTCGCCATGTACCATCTCATTAGAAGAACAGATTTTATTCAATTTTACATCGCCTTGTGCGACACTGCAAAGACAAGAATTACGTTGGAACCCACCGAGGACGCAGGTTTGGTAAGACAAAAAATCTCTAGCACAGATAGAAACTTAATCAACAACATATCTGACGCGCACGTGCTATCGTTTTGTTACTCTAAAACTAATAATTAAATTAATAATGCATTCTATTATTATACACTTTTTCGTCCTATAAAAAAATGCTTTATATCTATTTTTCTATTTTAGGATTTTCTGAAGCCAATAACGACCTACTAATAATATA